AAGAGCCATGGAGTGTGCCTAAATCCATCCCATGAGCTGGGCTGCATCAGAATACAACCCAGTAGGTCATAAGGCAGTTTGTCACTTTCTTTAAAAACACTTTAATTGAAATAATTCAATCTCTCTGTAGAAGGATTTATGAAGGTTTGTTTCCTATAGATCTGTCTCTGATGGCCCTACATTACCACACTGCAGTAGTTCCCAGCTCCTCCTATGCGTTTCTGCTAGCACTTCCCAGATTGAAGTATCTCCAGTTTCTCCCATCTATCTCCCCTGAGCTTGCACAGCTCTTCCTCACATCCCCAAGCTACTGAGCAAGATGATGTGGCTGGTTTGCAGCCTGTGCCTGGGATGGACCTGTTGGCTCACTCATGTTGCCTGGCCAGCTGTGAGGACAGCCAGCACAGGTCCCTGCTGAGCTCTCCCCCCGCCTCTCTGAGCCACTCTTCCGCAGACCTGTCCTTTACACAGACACAAGTTTGATAAAGCTTTTAGGAAATTATTACCTTCAAGACATTTACCTTCCTGTCAGACAGGTCTTAAACTGATTAGGAATCTGTCTGATGGATAGGCAGGCAATTGCACAAGGCACAACTCATAAGGAAACCGGGGTAAGAAAACCAACCAAGCTCTCTAAGGAGAAAAGACAGCTGAAGTTGCAACATTCTCAGTTCTCCTTGGGTTTATTATAACAAAAAAAAAGGAAAAAAACAACACCCTGCATTCTCTGGCACGCTAGAGATGGATAGTGCTGGTTATGTGGTTTCTCATTTACACAAAATAAATAAAAGGGCCGCTCAGAGGTTGGCCGGGCTATGCCCCTACAGCATCATGTAGGCAAAGGGAGATGCCTTTGCCCATGTGCCAGAACACGTAAAAGCAACACAGGCAGTGCCATTCCTGAAGCAATCAGCCCTGATGGGGGACAGCATGTATTTGCTCAGCACAACCAGTTGCAGTGACCATGTCAGCTGACTTGGAGCACAGGGAAAGATCTTGTCTGCATAGAGAATGGGTGCACCAGGCTCCCATCTGCCTGCAGAATGAGATGCAGATAGACATGCAAGTCTTCTGTCTGACTCTGCTCAGTGGCACAGACTAGAACATGAGAAGGGGGACGGGGAGAAGAAAGAAAATTCATTATGGGAAATGAATGAAGAAAGTCCTGCCCCAAAGCAGTTCTAAATAAGCATCAAGTTATAGAGTTCATTAGGACAATGTGGCCAGCAATAATCTACAACTTCACCTTCTGGAGACCTGAGCACTAGGTCTGAGTGTATCATGTCTCTGGTCTTCAGTAGGATTCTGAACAAAACCATTTTACTCACAGGTCCTCAACTATTTAAAGGTTCTGAGAAACACATGCATTAATTTTTATACAAATAAAAACAAACAAAACACAATAGGGCTTCCCTGAGATGAATACAAAATGCTAAGTATGATTAGCAAGCTGTAAATACCTCTAAGATAACTGTAGCACTGGGGTGCTGCTCTCTGGCTGCATAAATGTCACAGCAAGGTTCACAAATGCTTACTGTTACAAAAACCCATGCTGTCACTAATTCACAATGAAAACACAGAAAAAAGATGTTTCAAGTTAACATCCCTCAGATCTCCAAATGAATGTCTGTGAATGATTTTTTTCTGTCTAGGCCATTTGGCCTTTTATGCAGAGATTGGGCTTGTTTTCACATTTTTTTTCTTCTGTTCCACATTTTGCCCACTTATGTGGAAAAGGGCGAAGTGGGGGTGTATTTAAGAATATGTTGTCAAATATCTAGGCAAAAAGCTAGACACATTTACCTAGATCAGATAGAATGGCTCATTACTGGCACAGATTAAAAGCAGCTTTTCTGGCTATGAGCTTCAGGTACACTCTACAGCATGCAGATAGAAATACATATCATCAAACTTCTTTAGTCTAGGAGTTGTATCTTTCCTTTCAGATAGAGGGGGATTTAAAATATTTTAACTTTAAAAATGTGTGATATCTTATATTTTGTGTGTTCAGTATACACATATGTTAACTGAAGGAAAAAAGTCTTATTCAATGGACGCTTGCAGGAAAGGTGTTAAATCTCAGTTTCTCCATAAATGACAAATATTTTCCAGTCATTATGTCTCTTTCTTAACTTGGCATATATACAACTAGTCTGTGCTTTGATGTGCTCATTTTGGACTCAGAATGCTGTTTGTACAAAGAGCAAAGCATTAAACAAGCCACTAAAAGGGGCAGAACTGTAACTTTTAGGCTGGGGAAAAAGAGCAGTGTATTTCTCCATTCTGCCAACATGAATAAAACTTCACATCTTTGCATTTTGTTGTATTTATCTCAAATTCACCACTGTTCGCTTAAGAAAGAGAAAATGTAAAATAATTCTGAGCGCATTTCATTGCTAGCTCTGTTTCTTAATACATCTTTTTCTGGAGAGGTCTTGCAGAAGTACTACAGAGAAAAACATGTCAAGGGTAGATTTCACATAAATAACAAGCCCCATAGCACCAAAAAGCATACAGTTGAAGAAATCTGCAAATCTAAACCAATTGTGGTTGTGTGGTTTTCATGACTGACATCAGACTTCAAGGTTTGAAAAGACTATGAATATTAATTACCTGTGACCCTGGAACTCTCAGACTAATTCATCTATGTTAGCTGGTGCTTCATAACAGATTTGAGAACAGGAAAGTGATATCTGTTTCTGGCATGTGACAGGGCGGAAGCTCTGCTGGAATCTTATGAACAAGTAAATCTGAGAAACAGAAGTTCTCGCTCTGACTTTGATGAGAATGAAGAAAGCTTGGGAACATCAGAAAACCTCATTCCTCAGAAACAAACAGTGACAAGGCAGTTAGTATAGAGTCCTCACAGAAGTTAGCTTGTAAAGCCTTAATGGGAGAATTGAACTCAATTTCAAAAAGGTTGGTCCAATTCCTGTCTTTGCTGGCAGCACAGAATTCTGAATACAGGACTCTAAGATTACACATGAATAGCTGAGATCAGTCACGCAGTATAAAACATTTAGAATGTCTAGATATCTACCAGCCAATCATGAAACCTATCAGGCTAATTATAAACTGCTGGTCTCAGGCAATTACTTCCATAACAGGTGCATGAAATATTTCCAAGCACTGTCTGGATTGTTTATCTTTCCCTTGGGTTATGCAATCTTGCCCTATTTACAATAATGCATGTGCAATCCTCTTCATTCACAGCATTTATTTCCTTCTGCAGGCCGAGGCCAAATTTATCTTTCTTAAAAATAAGAAAACAAAAATGTCTGAAGGACAAATAACATTCTGCATGAAAGAAGCTGGATTGATATGTGCAGTTGGATAAATAGCCTCTGTCTCTAACTGCTGCTGATTTTTGAGTTAAATGCTAACTGCTAAAGGAAAATCATATTGGGTGTCATTCTGCTGTCCTGTATACCCAGGACACCTTTAAAAACCTGCCTCTTTCATGCTGAAATGTCCCAAGGCACAGAAGAACAAAATGAAGGGGATCAAGAACAACATATATGTTTTGCAGTAGAATTTATCACTTAAGAAAATTGCAACTCTTTGCAAGGACAGTGTTTATAACACATAAGAGCCAAGGGCATGTTTCACCTGCTGCTGAGATAATGTGGCAACATCATCTCTGGATACAGAGGAGGCTATGAAAAAGCTTTGTCACAATGTGGGCAGAATGATCATTGGTTTGTACCCACCTAGCTGGTCCTCTTCCTGGAAGACAAAATACATCTCCACAAATAACAGCCTCCTAAATCAGAAGTTTATCCATGCTGTCTGTTAAGATAGGACACAGGATATTTCTTCTGGAAAACCAGGGAGGCTACAGATAATGTCTAATGAACAGCATTGCAGAGGGAGATGAACAAGCTGTAAGAATTAAGCTGCTCTCTTCCTGCTCATGTCAGTAGAGAAACACTCTAAAGCAAGGATCGTTGTTAGCTCCACTGCTGGAAATGATAATACAAAAAAAATTCCAACAATTTAGAAACCATGCCAGTCCCATGCAACATTCCTTTTCCCCTGGGCAACTTTGACAGAGGTGACAGTACAACTGTTCTTGATCTCCTGCCTGCTGTAAACCAAGCAAAGGAGGATCTGTTCACAAGAGTAGAGGAACATGTATTATTTGCAATTTAAAAGGGGCCTGCCTCCCATTTTAAGAAAAGTATCTCTGAGAGGAGCCAGTGAGATTGACAAAGAAAACCATCATAGGAACAAACCCATGTGGCAACACTTCTTTGTCACAATGAAATCCCACAAGGGACCAAGCAATGCCTGGGGCTCGCAGCCTATGCTTCACTTAACCACATCTGAAACTACCAAAGCGAAAACAACTCCCAAAGACAGACAGATCTGGAGGCAGAAAGAGAAAATGAGGACATCACAATATGCTTTCAGAACTTTTGATAAAGAAACAAAATCAGAAATTCATCTGTTTGCACACATACTTAGTAAGCTAAAATATCTGCTCACTCTTCCAGCCTTGCCCCAGATAAGCATGGACACTCTGTCAGGGAAGAAACTGGAAACTGCTTTCACTGGGCCTTTTTTAAGGCCTGTGGTAGGAACAGAGCAGCAATGTGGCTCTCAGAGAACACTATACAGCTTACAAGTACAATGCTCTGTGATGTATAGAAAGGTCAGGCTGGCTCTTCTTAGAAAGGGACCAAGAAAATGAAGACTGGATTAAGCAGAGCTCTTCTCCCTGCCCTTTTTATATTCACACAGAAGTTCACAAACATCAAGTCCCAAGTAATGCCAGCAGGATATTTTAATAGTAGTACCTCATCACAAATGCTTTTTCAGAGCCTGCTCTTGTATTTATGTTTAGGTCATCTCTTCCTTTTCACAACCTACTTCTCCACCTCTTCCCAGAATTAGCAATATTTGTATGTACTCCAGTCTAAACTGGGAGCTTTTGTTTTGCTTTTCCATTTTTTTATTGCTCCGAAATAATTGTTCAGTTCTGCTTAAAATGTTCTTACCATTCCAGGTGATTTTCAACGAAGGCAGACATGGGGCTGATCTGTACAGTGTAAGTGTCGTTGGCTGAATACTCAAACAGCCCGTAATAGGGATTGAAGAGCTCCTGAGACAGAAGGAAAAAGAATTCTCGGGAGGGGCCACTGTAGTCCAACCTGGAAAGAAAAAGGCAGAAAAGATAAAATGAGGCTCCTTACCATTTGAGTGGATTTCCTGATTTGCCTACATTGGCTGCTGCCTTTGTACAGCGGCCTGTGTAGTCAAGTGTTCCTAACATGATTTATCTCTTCTCTCAAAACTCGATTCTGAGTCCTGAACAAGTTACAATGCCAAAACTTCACCAATAGCCAGGCTGATCTGGGAGGAATCATAACTAGGACATATGCCTTAAGTAGTTTACTTTCCTTTGTTCCAAAAAGCTCAGCAACTGGAGGTACAAGGCTCAGCCTTGCTTCAGCTGGCTGGCCAGCAGAGGGGTAACTTCCTAGTGAGTGGGTTTGAACTGCCTGTGAACACCTGGGTTCACAGACCAGAAAGCCTGGGCTAAAGCAGAGATGGCTCTGACCCTGCTACACCGAGATGTATCCAGATCTAGAGCCAAGGATGTTTTTTTAGCTACAGAAACCATAAAGAACAAGACCAAGTCCCAGCAGAATTGTGCCTCTTAAGACAGAATGGTGATTCTTTGCTTGTTCCATCTAAGCCCTTCCAGTTTTGTTATTTTCATGTGGTACACCTTAAATTGAGCTTTGCTGTTGTATGAATTTGCTACGTAGAGAACCTCTTTTTTTCCTTTGAATTTTTTACACTCAACAAAAGGAAAACAAGACTAAAAATTTTTCCTGAATGCATTAAATGAAAACTGTGGTGGATTTATTAAAAACAGATAATGGTGAGTAGGTTTTTTCAATCTGAAATAAACCTACATATAGCAATATGAAGAAATGATCTCTAGCCATCTATCGTGTGTGCCAAAAGATTTTCTGAGGTGGACACTATTCCTTCTACTTAACAATTGTAAAGTAAGTAGAAAGCTCTGCAACCGAATCAGAATGGTCTGTACTATGAAGTTAAAGAAGCATAAATGAAAGGGGTTGAATGACTGATTTGTGCAACTAGAAAGATGGCAAAGGGTAGATGGGACCATCCTCCTGTGTTTTATGTCTGGAGATTCAGTACTCTCTTTGAGGAGCTTTAGCTCTAGGATAATGTGATGACACAAAAGGCACGCCTGTACAAGAGGATAGTAACAAACTCAAGTGACCCACTAGTGCCAGCCATGACCAGGTCTGGCTCTAGGGACATCAAAGCACTGGGTTAAGCCTGATAATGGCTGGAGTAAAGAACTACAAACAAGATGTATCTATGTTCAAAAACCTCCAACAGGAGACTAGCTATTGCATTTCTGGGCAACACACTAACATAAATCATAAAGCCCTTGTAGTTCATTTTCAACGGCCTTTTTCTTTGAATGATGGGAAGCTGTGCTCATATAGCATCATGTGGCCATACAGCATCAACTCTTCAGTAGGGAACTGGCATCTTGGAGTCCTTCCAGCAGAATGTATATTAGCGTTAAGCAGCAGAAAACCTAGAGGAATGTATCTTCAGATGTAAATGGATCAGTGAAGAATGAATGCATTTGCATATCAAATTGGTTTGTAATTTCTCCTGAGGACACCATGCCACACAGAAAACAAAATGACTTTGGCAGTATTAGCATTCCAGAACGCTATGCCAAAAAGACAAACTGAAGTGTGCTACACGTTTATGCTTTATTTGCAGGCCAGAGGCAAGATCAGCTGTGAAAGATGACCTCTGCTACCCAGTACTGAATCCATAGAGAATAAAAAAGTAAGAGTGAAAAAACCTGATACTGAGGTCACCGAGTGACTCTCTTTGAGACTCTTTGAAACTTCTGTTTCCCACTGTACGTAACCTGTCCTGAGACAAGGGACAAACACCCTTCACTTGCCATGACATCTCAGAGCTGATTGTCAGCAGTTGTTGGACATATTGAGAGTTGCCTCAGGTACTGTCTGATACCTTTGGAACTGAAACCCTACACACATGGTTTTTGGAAAAAAAAAGAAATTTTACATGCAAAGCTACTGAAATGCAGCTTCATGCCTTTGTCATATGGCATCCTGGAAACACACACATAATGGTCTTTCCATTATAAAAGCTTGTGGATTAAGCCTCCATTACAACATAGCTATTGAGGTGAGCCAGGGTGGCTTTGAAAGGTTGTGCTTACATTTGAAAACAAAAGGTCATGGGTTGACTTTCATCATACAAAAATGGCTCATGGATTTTAAGGGTTGTAGAAAGCTTCCTGAGAAAAGGCCTTCTCAAGAAACTTGTACTGCTTTTAGATTCCAACTTCAAGAATTAAATTTTAAGGACTAAACAGCATTAATGTTTCTCACTTAAGATGAAAACAAGAAATCCAGATACAACAAATATGCAGATAACAAATCCACATTAGCTAGCATGCAAAACAAAAATGTTTAAAGCAAAACCAGATCTATTGTGAAGAGTTAGAGTAACAAACTGCATAAAGGTCTGATCTCTAACTATAGCCCTCAGACCAATTCAGTGTGTAAATATTGGCCTGGAGTTGAGTTTTCTCTTCCAGCCTGTCAAAAAATCTACAGCAAACAAGATGACAATAGATTTAACCACTTAAACTGTCACTTTGAGACATCTAGATAGAAGGTGTTATAGGAAAATGAAGCATTATTGTTCTTGTTATTTTTAACAAATGTTTGAGTTGATTAAGATGAATCACTTACTCAGAGGTAAAACAAAACCAAATAAACATTACATAATAAGAGAGGCTCAGCCTTAGTCAACTTGGTGTTTTGCAACATAGCAGCTACTTCAGAACTGAGAGCATTCTGTGGTTCCTACCCTTCCTCGCCGACAAATGTGACGTAGAGTTTGTTCCGCTGGAGCTCCTTGCGTGAATACGCCATTACCTGGTTGAAGGTGCCTTCCAGCAAGTGGTCACGCCGTATAATTAACCTGCAAAGGAAATAAAGATCTGATGATTGAGTCCTGTGTGAGCTTGTGAGGCTGAAGGTAAACAACAGCTGTAAAGAGAGACATTTGTTCCCAGAGAACTTAATAAAATGGCATCTGCTGGTGCCCATGCTACTTGACCATTACAGATTTCCATTGGCATTCCTATGTGCCTTGAAGGTGAATTCCTTCACAGTGCCATCATTAGGCTCAAAGTGCTGCTCTGCTGCTAACATTCTCTGCATCAGCCCATATGTACAAATTTATATGGTAGAGGGGGCTGTTTGTTTCCTGTGTATATGAAGACCCAGCTTTCTGGAATTGGCCCCAAACACTTCCTGGATTTAATCCAGTGAATGTCCAGACACATACTGCTTCTGTGGCAGGGGAAGCAAAGGGAGTTATCAGCCTCTGTTTATACAACACATCTCTCATTCCTTTACTAATCTCTACAACAACTTAATGAATAGTACTTTTACACACCGTCTGTGCAAGAAACCCTTCTTGTTCATATGTTCATGGACATTTTAAAACAGACCTTCTAAAATATATTTCGTGTCTACCTTGGACCCATTCAGCAGGACACCAAAAGAGGCAACAACTAGCTAGGACTCCTCAGCTCTGTAAGACCATTTTGCTGATGACATTTGCCTGGAATAAATTACTTGGCTTCATACTTTTATTTTTTCCACAACAGATGTCCTTTGGTAGGAAGCCAACCTGAGGCATAAATTCAACCAGATGCCCAGGAAATACCTTAGAAACAGCCCACAGCCTTTGGCAAAGTAGGATAACTAGATTGAGCACAAGCTGGTTCAGACTCAAAAGCCAGCTAACAAGATGTGTGGAAAGAAACTCCACAATCAAATGAGAGAGAACCCCAAACACACGAAGACTGGCAGAAATCCCTCCAGTTCAAATCCAGGAGAGCTATCAACACAAAGAACTATGGAAAGTTAAACCTGCATGTACAGGATCATGTTCTGGCCCTGAGTTACACAGTTATCCTGAGTTATACATATCTACTTATATGTAGATCCAAAGAATTTGGAGTCATCTTGCCATTACAATGATACAGCTGTGGTTAATATCTGGTAGGTGTTTGCCTGGAAGGATAATTCTCCTACTGGGAAATTGTAGGTAGGAATATGAATATCCCTGTTAAATAAGCAAGAAATGGGAGTGTAAGAGAATACTAATGTTTAAGAAGGAAAACTTCCACACAAAAGCCTCTTGAAGGTCACTCTTTTGTAGGGTATATGAAGATCCTATCTTTCCCTGATGGTTATGTAAAAAATGCAATCTCTAGGGTGTTTTACATTCCCTATCCCTGTCTTCATGAATTACGAATGACAAAAGACAAAGCTTTTGTCCCATTACCCTGAGTGATTTTAATACTTACTTAATTTTCCCTGGACCTTGCCCATACCCTTTGGCTTCAAGTTTTCGATAGAAATTGCGCAGCTTGGCTTCAAAGTCCCTCCTGTATGGAGAAGGTGCTCTTGCACTTGCTCGCTGCAGCCCTGGAGGGAAAATAAACAGCATCCTAAGGTGTAAGGCCCTTGACATTCTTCCAAATCATACAGCTGATGTTTCCACACAGAACCAGTAAATAAATGTGTTAGGAACTTTTTGCAGATAGACAGTGCACTCAGTGTTATTTTTGCTCTATCTGACATCAAGAGAATTGTAAGTTCCTGTAATTCAGTGATTGAAATGAACTTCCAGGGACTGTATCCTATTCACTAAAAGTAGTGTTAAGCTCACCTTGTGTGTGCCCTTGTGTTGCCTCTGCCTTTAGCTATGATTGAATGGTAACTGAAGGATCAGAAAGGCATAAGAAAGACTAACATATGTATCTACCTTTCATGATCAGTGGCATTTAGGTTTTCTTTTCCTTTTGCACTTTTAAGAGATCTCTCTCCTCTCATTGTACAGGAGATCTCCTTACTTGGAAGGATTAAACCTCTGAAATTCAGAGCAATGCTTCTCACTGGAGCCTAGCAGCCCAGCCAAGCTGGGAGTCAGGTTTCCCTGTGTTAATCTGACTGTATATTAAACACTTCCAGCTATCAACACAAAATCCCTCTGTGGCATCAAAAAGGATTTCTGTCAGCAAGAAATGCTACATTTCCCTATTATGATTCACACACAACAGCAGATTTTTCAGCAATTTGGAACCTGTTTTGTTTTGAAGGGTGCATTCTCAAAGCAGGTGATTATTCTTTTTGTATAAACAAATGCCATGCCATAAAAGGCCAAATAATGGATTAATGAAATCCCATTTACCTATCTCATTACAAAAGACAATAAAACCCAATCTTTTTATGAGAAATCTAGCAGCAAATGCTCCACAGGAAAGAAAAAAAAGCCCATCACATTTAGTGGGAGCCCAAAGTATCATGGTTGCCATGAGGGAAGGACATTACTGTCTCTGCTGGTAAAATAGAAAGGTGTATATACATGCAGCACAAAGAGAATCCCTTGCAACACTTCTTTCTTCTGTCAGCCTTTTGTTTTTCCCCAGGGCATAAGAGAAGGGGTGCTCTCATGAGCTCTATAACCAGGACATAAATTAGCAATAAGACAGTGTGTTGCTGGAAATGAGTATTTGCCCTTGTGTTTTCACAAGAGCAGTCTCCTAAGTCACATTTGTGCCATATACTTGGATTCTTGTCCTGAAGGAGACTTGCTTATGATCTGTCCTGGTATAGACAAGGGAAACTTGTACTCACACTGGTGTTAAAACTCATTAATGAAAATAGGACATTCTGACAAAACACTGTTCTCCTGTAGAGAAGGGTTTAGCATTTAACTTCTTCACATCAAAAAACCTTTCAATTTTCCACATCCACATCCAAGACTTGAACTTCTCTTGTCCCTTAATTTTGTTTGAAATCAGATAATTTAAATGCATGCTCAAAACCTCCTCCAAAAATGGATTTCTTCAGATCACATTTCTGTTGATTCTCTCAAAATGGCCACTGGACACAGCCATGCAGTGAGACTGCGGTGGGGGTTGTGTCTCTTGGTAAAAGGGAGACATTAGCTCCTCAAATTTCTATAGCATAAACAATAACTACAGAGACATAGCACAGCTGGAAATAACCTTCTCAGACAGCATGTCTTTCTGGAAAATATGTTTCCTGTTGAACCTAAGTTAATGGGTTCAACACGGGAGGTCAGGCTAGATGATGAAGATGATCCCCTCAGGTCTCAAAATGGATGTGCCTTGGGAAGAAGAGAAGTTTTTGGAACATTGAATGGAGGAGACTGAATTTTAAAAGAGTACTGGAAGTGTGCAACACACCTTCAATTTGTAAGGTGCTCTTGGCTGCTGTCACATAAAATGAATGTGCTTCCATGTCAGTGACTTATGCTTGAAGTACACCACTCTCTTATCCTAATCCTTTCCATTGATATAAAAAGGTATGTATCAACAGATACACAGCAGCACTGGAAACTGATCCAGCAAGAAAAGTATCTGGGATCAGATTCAGAGTGGGCACTGTAATTAGCAGGCTGACAGCTGATGCTGGCTCTGAGTCTCCTCTTTTCTATTTATCAGAAGAAATACCACAAATGCAAAATCTTGTTCTAATTTTCCCATCTCCTTACCCGGAGAGTTTTGGGGTGATGAACAGGGCGAGCAACGAGGAGAAAAACTGTAACCCGGATGGAAGGCAGCCTGCAGTGGTATGTAGGACATGATATCCTCTTCAAAAAGGCTGCATGCAAAAAGTCATAGGGAGATATTTAGTTCACATTCATCACATGAAGGAATGTAAATACGCAGTATGGTGCAAGTTCATTGTGTCAGATGTTTGGGTGCATCTCTGAATTCGGGGATTAAAAAAAATCCATAGGTTTCCCAAAGACAGACTTGTCACTAGCAATGAAGAACAAAATGAATTTTAATTGATGTTTCATGCTAACATGATAGCTCAGTCACTGATGGAGAGTAAAGACATGAGGCTACATAGGAAACAGGAGCACCTTCAACACATTAGCAGAGAGAAGTAAAATTAGGTAGTGCTATCACAGCACACCAATCCCACCTGGGTAATGCAACTTTTCCCATCTCAGATCAAGACAATAAAATACGTTCTTAGCTACACTGAGGAGAAGTAGGACCTAAAGACCAAGCTCTCTGGTTCCAGTACAAACTGAAGCTTCATCTTCATTACCCAAACAATGCCCACGGCAGTGCACATTGAGGTTTCATGCATGTGCGACAGCACTACTGCAGTAAAATTATCAATTTCATGAGCAGTTACATTATTATAGTAAGAAAGACAAGGGTTTTTTCCTCTCTTTTTTGTTTTTTCTTTCTTTAAAAAGCAAGATTTTTTTTTTCCATTAAAAGGAAACGTTTTTGACCTGATTCTTTTTTATCTGCTACTTGATGGCAACAGCCATACTGACTGAGCTGGCTGGATTTACTGCACTGATGGAGGCTGCCTTCCAGGAAGTACAAATTGACAGATAAACTCTGGCTGAATCATTTTGGATGGCTATCAGTATGACCTGATTTAACAAAATCTTTTCAATTATGCTGAGAAAAAGCCAGATAGTTTCTCTGGTACTGTAAGTAATGACATTATGCTATTGATCAAATTGATTACCTCAGCAGAATTACTAAATCTGCATCACATGACAACTTTTCAAGCCCATGTGTACCCTCTGTCCGAATGTAATGTATCTTCTCCCTGAAACATAAGTGATATTATGGAGAGGAGAAAAAAAAATACAAAACCAGAAAAAACCATGCCATTATCACAGCTTGAGCCACACATAGAGTAGTTATTTTTTGGTATTTTGCCAGTTTCTGTTTATCTCCTTATAAAAATGGCAAACATCCTATATGCCTGATTCATTTTCTAATCTTCCTAACAAACTTGCAAAAAAATTCTGTCTCCTTTACTTAGTTTACTGATCCAAAAGAAAGAGATTTTATTCCCTATTTTAGAGTACAGAATTCTCTAGTGCTCCAGTTTCATGTGTACACGTCAGGTCACCAACTGCAGATTTTTTGTGTAAGCCTACAACTAACATAGCACCTTTTGTTAACAGAATTTACAGTAATATCACTTCCTTTCCCTCTGTCAATTCCATCTGGGAAATAACACTAACATAAACTTGATGTGAATTAATCACACAGAGGTTATACAGTAATATGTGTTGCATGTATAAAAACGTAACTTTAGTTAATAAAAACTGAGAAACATAGGACAGGATCCTATCAGCAGATTAAGATCATGGAAGATACGCATCTACACCTCAGCCTATCAGTGTGTTTCTAAAGCATTCAATTTTCCAAATATTTTTATTCTAGTATTAAGTCAAACTATTATATCTCAAGTAAAGGATGTGCTCTAGAACCTTGCAATCAGGGTCTAAAAGATGGACTTTGCATCCTACGAGTTTGCTTAACACCTGTGGCATGAGCATTAGGCAGTAGCTTGGATCACTCCTGGCTCAAGGTATAATCAGCAATGACCTAGAGGCAAAAGGCTCAATATCCTGTTACAAATCTCATTATGCACTGGCTAAGCTGTCTAGCCCTGTCACTGGTCAATTTTGTTCTCTGCTCAGAAGGAGATAAAAGCATTATGTGTTCTCTGGGAAATGAGAATTCAAATTACAGCTGAGGAAAAAAAATAGTCTGGAATAATTTGATGGTGAAGATAAAAATTTCTCAGTTACAGAAATGTACATCTTAATACTGAGAGTATTTTTCATTGTATTTCTCATTTTATTTGCATGTATCAATTCCTCCAGAAGGGAACTCTAATCCTCACATCCAAAAAATTCTTTGTCTGGCCCTCAGAGGTAAATGAGGAGTCAATAAGGCTACCAGCAGAAAGCACTGCAGGAATTTGGAGGCCCTCTCCTCTTTCAGCAGCCCTGCAGCCACACCTCTGATTGCACAGCACATCCTAAACTCTTGGTCAAACTCTCAGCTGGTGCATATGGGCATCCCTGACATTGATTAACTCCAGCTTAAGTCCTTGGCCAAAATCAGTTAATTTGAACTTTGGAATTTGATAGATTATAAGTTGTACTGATGATTGGTTCTGTTTTTTTCTGTTTTTAAAAAATCTATTAGGAAGGAAATGGGCTTAAGAAAAAGAAATACACTTTGGAAATTACAACCTTTAATGGTTGTAATTACAATCCACTTCATAGTAATGCTCCAATTACTTTATAATATCTAGGGTGACTATATCCCTGACAGGGGTGTAAATCCAACCATGAAGCAAAATCGGGGTTCTGCTGGACTTATTGGGGTTTTGCTGCTGACTTCCATCCAAACACTCTTTAACTCTTATCTTCTGAAAAGCAAAGGGATAATTGCAGGTGAAGGTGGAGTTTCTGGTCGTTATTTGCCCATATTTATTTTACTTCTTGGATGTCTGTGGAAAGTAACTATAGTAACCACATGGATCCAGGTTGTTCCCATCTACTCTTTAATGCTGGCAGTTCCATAGGAGCTCCAAGTTCATCTTTTGTACTACAGTTACTAGAATTTGGTTTTCCCCACTACAAAAAGCACTTCCTGGGAGTAGGGTAGAGCAGTCTGGCAAAAAGTGGTACCTGAGTGCATGGTTTCTGGCCAAGCTGGGCTGACGCTCCTGCAGCATCTCAAAAATGTTGGGTTGGCGCAGAAATGCAACAATCTTGTCATTGTAAGCTGGAAAAGGTAAAATCAAACCAGAGGCTTTATTTGTCACCAGAACTCTGCAGGGGCACACTGCACTGCCAGTGAGGCACAGGACAACACGAGGCAGTGCATGCAGCTGATGAGAAGTCCTAAAACTCACCTTTGTGAGCTTTGAGAAGAAAAAACAAAAAACTTGGCTTACCCAGAGGTAATGCCTCGTGATGGTGCTGGTTTCGAATAGCTGTTACGAGACTATTGCCTGGTCTGGCCAACAGAGTAACTCCTCTGTTTCGAGAAACTTCAGAGGCCTACAACATCAGAGAAAAGGAAAAGAATTTTCAAAACTGACCACCAGTAGCTCATCAGTCAGTTAAAAGATTTGTCATTTTTACTTCTGTAACCTTCAGAATGGTCCATGATGTTGACTGGAGGGCAGAAAGCATGCATGAAAATGACAGCTTTATACTCCAGTCAACTTAAAAAAGGCAAGTAATTCTGTGCTTCCAAATGAAGGTACACCATTATCCAGAGCTGTCACAGCTCCTCAGTGCTGAAGGCACCAGAAGTAAATGCGCGTTAATGTAGGTATTACAGTGATGGACTTCTCTGGTTCAATGAAAATAAAATCTCTGTAGTATCACACTACATACTCTGTAGTATCAAACATGTATTGTTTTAGCATAACTGCATTACTTCAAGGTTTTTACAGCAATGTTTTTGAAAAGAGAAAAAACCCACAATGCTTGAAAAGAGAAAAAACCCACAATGCTTGAAAAGAGAAAAAACCCACAATGTTCATTCAGTGTTGTTGAAGGGAAATTTAATATTGGAAATAACGTGAGGAAGGTATATCTAAGTACACCATAGCACACAAAAAGGCTGTATTGTCCCAAAAGTCTGCCTAACTTGTATAACAAGAAATTGAATTGCATACACTGGAAATAAGAACATTATCCAAAGACCTGATAAAGGGAGTAGTAAGAAGGAAATTTTTCACTGCTCCTTAACTGAGGCACTTAAAGAAAGCCACTGCTCTAAATACACTATCTAGTAAAGGGAATCATGTCAGAAAGGCAGAATTCTTAAAAGGTGAGAAGACACTTTGGTGTGATGATATTAAAAGGCAAACAATGACATCTGACAATGTTTGCACTAAGGCAAACAGAGCACTAAGGTTACTTACGGGGTAACCTTTTGGAGATTTGTGAAATTTGAGGGGAACCCACCTGTCTCTCATGTTTTCCCCCAGAATATGGCCACAGTGAGGCCAAGAGAGGAATCAGAATGGTTTGGTTTGGAAGGGACCTTAAAGATCTAGTTGCAACAGCCCTGTTATGGACAGGGACAACTTCCACTAGACCAGGTTGCTAGGGACCCTTCCAACCTGGTCTTAAAACACTTCCAGGCATGGAACATCCACAGCTTCTCTGGGCAATCTGTTCCAGCGCTTCACCACCTTCATAGTAAAGAATTTTTTCCTAATATCTGATCTCAACTTACTCTCTTTCAGTTTAAAGACACTCCCCCTTTCCTGTGACTACAGTGTGAAGCTGTATCAGGACAAGATGCATTAGGAATTCCAATTGCCACTCCACTGGGCTAATAGCTGCTCCTTTCTTACTGCAGAAGTTATAGCATTTGGCAACTACTTCAGGAAGAATTCACCCCATATTCAATATTTTAAATGCTTAGCTCTGCATCCAAGCAAACGGTGCCAACCCATTTTCAGTGGTACAGCCAAAAGCCAAGTTTTCCAATTGGAAAGACACAAAAAACTGGAAAACTAAATGTGCCTGGCAAGCTGCCTTTTGGAATCTGTAAATCTTAAAATGTTTACACGTATCAAGATGCATTTGATACATGTCAACACACAGGTTAAACAATGAAAAATCTTAACTATTCTAATCAAACACACTGTAATTTAAAACACAAAGCTGCTGTGCAAGTGCATAATGAATGTTTTGTTTCATCATCCAGTTAGGATTTCACTTGTACCCTTTCACTGCCTTTGCCTCCTCCTCACACCCTCACAGGTCAACTCACAAGGAAAATTTAGATCAGGCTTAGGCAACTTTTCCCCTGCGACCCAGGCATCCACCCCAGCAAATGGTGGCCTTTACAGCATTCACTCCATGCTATGGCACAGGGGGAAACCTTAGGTGCAAGAGGTGCCCCGTGATCCACTGCCACAGTGGGCATGAGACCCATGTGGGACCAGCCATTTCTTGGGATGTTTGTCAGCAGCACAGCCAGGATCACACTCTGGCCCATGACCAGCTGTACTAGATAGGATGTGTGGGAGGGTGCTAAGGCTTTGTTGGGCTCAACTTCTTCACTTCTAGGGAGCCCTGGAGTTCAGGTGAGGACACCTATTCCTCAGGTCCTTGTAGAATAAACTTGCAAGGGAATGCAGATGATGGGTGAGCCTGTTTTTAAGGGTGATCACTAACTCCTCCTTGACAAAGACAAATCCTATGCCCTTGTTGCTACACATAATTCTACTGACCAGAAGACAGAAAGGGGAAAGAGAGGAGTAACAGAGAAGTTAAACATATATTTCCCATAAAAATTAGCACCAGGTGGTATTTGCTCATCACTTGGGGACTGCATGGTACTTCTGTCCAGCCTGGGCCTGGATCCTCCTCTTGCTCTTGTCATCATTCCTTTTTTCAGCTTTCCACTGCCTGGACATATTTCTCCTGGAGCAAGAATTTTGGAAGGAAATGTGTATAGTGCCTGTGAAAAGAAACTTTTGCTCCCCTCTTCCCATCTTTCCTGTTCTGGTTTAAGAGCTAAAGTCATCTAGATTGTAAGAATCCAGTTCTGTACACACCTCAATAAACTGGTGATGTAATTCTCTTCATCATCATCTCAAGGCATTGCTCATGCTGTGTTTGGTCTTTTAACATTTACACCTCCAAACAAGTTTTCTTTGGTAACACAACAGGAAAATTCCCAGCCCTCTAATTAACTTCCATTTTGCTAACAATTCTCTTTCCACTCTTAGCTAATAGAATACAATTGATTGCTCCAATTTAGTGTTCATTCGCAATCATCTTGTCTACTTTAACTTTCTAATTGAATAATTAAATTTTGATTAGCACATTATTCTCTAATAAAAAAAATAAAGAGTGACCCCTCTAATGATTTAGTAACCTGGTTCATGTAGTGCAGAGTAATTGACAGATTTATGTCAGGCTTTAACAGCTTTGATATTGATACTGGGATGTTGCAACCAAAGTGGAGATTTCAAACTACCAGAGGAGCCTTTCAAGATGTAATACCTTTTCCTGGTTTTTATATTGCTGCTGGATTTCAGAGGCCCATTTGAATCCTTCTACTTGCTTGTTGTGGTTTGGGTTGGTAAGGAGATATATATACTGCCATATTCTAGCACCTTCTCTGAGCTTCTCGCTAACCAGCACCTCTTGCCTCGCCATTGTGGATGCCTGCTTGCTTTCTCTTGCTGTCTTTAAAATCTCTACCCGGTAATCATGGATGTTGACTTTTACTGAAGATGGGAAGTCCTTTAGAGGGAATGGAAAGTGCTTACAAACTGTTCTGTTTATAGAAGTGGCATAAGGAAATGAATCACTTAGTGACCTATACTTTAGTTACTGATATCCACTATAGCTACCTGACCTTTTCTTCCAAAAATCACGTAACTAAGAGCAGCAACAATCCCCTTTCTCCTGTAAAAGACTGATAACACTTAAATAAGTGCTTAATAAAGAACTTGTAGCTTTTTTTCTCAAATTAATATGTAATATCATTTAATATCAGTAATCTACACAGAACAATGGAAGTTTTTGCAGAGGTCCTTTATTTCATTACCCTGGCTCTTTTCTGTGCCTTCTCTGGCAACCACAACTTCACTATTCTGATGTCCTTCAGGCTCCTTTGACATACGTACATAACACTGAAAACTGGTGAGTTGTCCTTTGTGGTCCTTCATACTGTCCTGGTGACAGCTTCCAGAGGCCACACCATCTGCTCAGCAAAGAAACCAGCAAATCTGCACACAGCTGACACATGGCCAGGACAAAGCCCCACGTGTGAGTCTACAGACATGATTTATAGGCCAAAGAGCATCCAAATGCACTTAGAGGAAATGGCATGGAACATGAGGCTCTTAATAAATGGACTGAGCTGCAAAGGGTTGAATATTTTCCTTGTAAATAAGAGACTTTTAGGCACCAATCCAAAGTCCTTGGAAATCAATGGGAGTCCTTCCAGTGCAGCAGCAGACACTTCCAAATGGGAAGCTACTTGACTACAACAAAGAAGTTTGGCTATGACAAGGCTGTAGGAGCACTGTGGGACCTGGGTCAGTAAGACTGGGAGGTGACTATTTCATTGGCTGATTATGCCAGAACAGTGGTCTCAAAGAACATTTTTTCATTTCCCCAGATTACTCAAAAGTATTCAATACTTTTGATTTCCTACCCTTTACTGGCTTTTTTGGGTTTATTGCATATTGCTCCTTGCCAGCCTTGCCAGTGCTTGCAAAACCAAGTGTATTTTTTGGGCAAGGTCATCTGAGCTGTTCAGGGGTGTTTCTGTCCCTGACATGGCAAATTTGCAAACAAGCCTCAGGCAAGCATGGGCCCAAGCATGAATCACGGTGCAGGTGGCTATCACAGTCATGCCAGCAATTAAATCACAGCAGCAACACTAAACTGAAGGCTGCTGGCAGAGGGAAGTTTCTAATCTGGTGGGAAGATATGACTGAAACAGATCCATTGATACATTTCTATCTTCAAAAAATGTGGCTCTGTATTCACCCAAGATGGAGAGAACATGCCCAAGCTACTCATTGCCTTTGGTCCTGAAGAACTGACCACCCACCCTGCACAGCTCCTAATCCCAACCCACCTGGCAGTGAGAGGTATTCAGACTGGTGCTGCTGCAATAAATTTTGATGCTAATTTCACAAACATTTCTATGGATATTTTTGTGGAAGACAAAGATCCTTTCACCATAGTTCATCTTTAGTTCTATTCAGCAACAATCTTTACAAATGTTTAACTGTATGGATTTGCTATATGAAGAATCTGATTGCTGGTACTTTTTCCTACTTAAATCCACAACGCAAGCACAGTATTTATGCTTCTTTCAATCATGTCTATGGCCCTCAGAGATAAAAATCATCTCCAAGATCTATAGCAAAGATATTTAATGTGACTGAAAGCTGAGAAAGCAAACCTCAGCATACATTACTGCACTTCTTCTAGGGGGTCTATCTTTTCAGAGCACAGTGTCATAGTGGGGAATGAAGAAACATATGAGGTATCAGACTATAAAAAAATTAAGGAATTACTTAAGTAAAGCAAGGCCAGGACTTCAAATATGGATTCTTCTGTTAAAATCTATTCTGTCATCACTTCACATCAATTATGCTTTACCTGCTTATTATTTTAGTCAGAAAACCATCAAAATATAAACCAGCAAGCTCTGAAATAAACCCTTCAGAAAGACAAAAAAATCCCTTAGTGTCTTTGGAAGATCGACATTCCAAGACAGTCTGTTTCAATGCTTTTAAAATATAAGAAGTTTAATAAGTTCTTATAATTCTAGAGAAGACTGCTGTCAAAAGTTCCTGAGTTGATATGAGCACAGCTACCTCTCCAGCACTGTAGCTACGAAGCCGCTGGAGATGTTGGCGGTGAGTCAGGTGATTTGGGAGACGCCCATTCTGCAGCGGGATCCTGGGATCTATGAAGGTGGTAGCACGGCTATTGTGGTCAACGAAGAAAGACTGAAACACAAAGGAACAATGGTTTCTTTAATAAGAAGACTGACAACCCTGTGATGATATCACGGCAATGCAGCAGGAAAACCACTGGCAACTATATGTGGGAAATACCTTGGATAAGGGTAGTCCATGGAAGGCATCTGCAAACAACAGGACTCAACTGGCCTACTCAAAGCTAGAATAGCTCTTAGAAAATATCTGAAGCTGTGTAGACCAAAATCATGTGCAATGGCCATGATGTAAACAGACATGAGAGAATAATATTATTGGGAAATGCTGCTTTAACCTATTTGGTGGTTCCAGAGGTCAGTCAGCAAAGCTTCATTCGAGGTAGAGACACTGAGTCAAATTTTGCAGTCACAACAGATCTACTCTGGCTCAAACATTGTTGTCCGCCCAATGCTGCCTTGCTTTGGTATTATATACAATATTCTTTGGTATTATATACAATATTCTACAGAAAGCTAGGAATGCTTTGAAACTTTGAAGCTTTTTTTTCCTTTTTTTCCTGCTTCTAAAATAACTCTCCTTGCTGCTTGTGTTGTTTAAACTAAACCTTCACTGATTTTGAGTCAAGAAGGAAGGAACTTTTAATAATCATGTAGTCTGGTGTGCTGTGTTAAACAAGTGATTAGTTTTGTTGGCACTCTTACCTTGCCCTGCTGGTCAGTTTTTATCTCCCAGCCACGAGGAAGCTCCAGTCGGGTATCAGCAAACATGTTGATGAAATTTACTAGGTCTCTGTTGTGCTGATACCGCTCAAAATTACGAGCATCTCTACGAATTTTCAGAATCATGTGCTTCAAGCAGGTACTGTTGGTGAAGACTCGATAGGCACTCTATGAGATGGATAACAGAGGAGATGAAACCCAGTTCTGATGCCAAAACATATTTGGTTATTTCACGGGCCACATGCCCGAAGAACTGAAACAAATCCTGTTAGAATCAAGAAACACTTCCATCTCATTGTTTTGATTTGAATGACTACTTTACATGCATATGCAGAATTAAGAAATACAATCTGGAAAGTGAACCATCCCACACATTATGCACAGTTAGCTTGTGTAAGAACTGCCTTTTTAATGCACTTCAAAAATGGTCAGCTGAAACATCACACACTCAAGGTGAATGTAGTTGACCTGTTGACCCTTTCATTGCTTTTACTGTTTGACAGAAGCACTGCTTGTGTGCCTCGGCAGTGCCAGAGAGATGCAAAGACAGCAGTGAACATGTATTATTGCTATAATTGAAATCAAGATGTGCGTGATAGGACTCATGAACTTAAGAGGACCCCAGAGCAAATGTCTCCATATGAGCTTGCTGCCTTTTTTATGGTGACTATACAGCCACAGGAGAGGAACAGACACTTTTTAATTGTCTATTTTTGTAAGATGTGAATTGTTTCCTGGAATGGAGTATTTGTTTCTGTGATGACTACAAAGCTAGTCAGATGGAGACACTTCCATGAGTCCAATGAATGCCACCCCTCAGGCAGGGAGTTGTATCTCACAATGGGCATTAAATGCACCTCTAGGGAAATGTGGCCTGAGGCAGCTCAAGGGACTGATCTGATTGCAGAATAGGGGCCAAGCGAACTGTGTTTTTTGTTCAATGTGTTCAATGATAGAGCATCACAAAATAATACTTGTGCTAACAACACACAGACCCATTCACAGGCTACTCTTTGAATCCTTCACTTCAGGGAAAAAGCTCCTTAAGACAGAGTAGGAAACTTCACAAAAATCTCCTGAACCTTTTACTAGAGAGAAAATGATTGCCTTGGTTTGCTGGTCAGCCAAAAGGATTGATTACTCATTAGAGTAATAAAGACCACTGAAGGACACCTGTCTTAAGTGAAGAGCTCCAGTGTGCAGACCTGGAATATGTCCAGAGAATCTGACCCAGCAGCTTTGAATTCTCAATTTCTATGTGCATTTAGTGCATTTTAACCACTATAATTCAATAAAACATCTACAGGTGTAATCTTTATGATGTAAGGATTTATTGTGGCGACACCACTGAGAATGCTCCCTGTAGCACAAGGTTCCTAATTATGGCAAGGGTTGGTAAATGCTATGAAATCACAGAGATATGATCTCTGCCCTGAAGATATGACCTGCTTATAACCTGGGAAAGCTTCATGGTCACAGATTTTTAAGATCCCAGCCTACTACATAACAAAAGTTGTATTTTGATCTAATGTATGATCAATGACTGCCTTGAATATCTCTAAGCTGCACTAGGGAAACAAAGAGTGTAATGTAGTTTTATCTCTTCATGGAAATCAAATATCTGAAAAATGAGAGCTTTTCCCTTTAATTCTAACTGCTGGATAATATTTTCCAATCCCAACTTCAGTGGCATAATTAATAGCTTGGAATTTTAATAGGGGCTTGTGGTTAAAATATTATATTTGTGTTAAGGCAAAAGTTATGTGGGCCATTATTCCTGTACAAGTAGTATCTGCATGACCATTTGACAGATGTTTTAATAGATTATTCTGGTTCTCACATTAGAGGCAAGTTTTTAAGATAAAACTGATGGCTTCTTTCTGCTTTTTTTAAATTTCAGTGACTAATAAAATTGGGATTTAGTCTCCTGTGAGCTGTTCTTTACACAACTATGGAATCAGTGGCTCATTTTTCCAACAACCTTGCTCGTCAAAAATTACATTTCTCCCAGCTATAATTCATCATATAACACCCTGCTAATGGAAGAAATGATCTGCACTCCACAACCTAGTTCAGGGAATGTCAGATGAGTTAATACATCCCTTCCTTGTCAGGATCTCATGGGTGATAATCTCTGGCTGATGCTTGGAGATGGATGGCTGGCTTCAATGCACGAAGTGCCACAGCCAAAACCTGATGTCTGCAGTTAGCTACAAGGCTGTGCTGAGGTAACTTTCAGTGTTTTACTTTTTCTTCCTTTTGAAAAGGAAGGTCATTGCTACCCAAAAATGGATGACCTCCCAAATAGTCAGAAGTCACATTTAGATGCCTTGTTGAACTAAATTCCAACTATGGCAAACTAGGACTGCATTTCCTTGTGGGACTGCCCCATCTGCTTCCTCCTGATACTACATTTTCTCCACTCCCCTCCAGGTTTGCAAGAAAACGTGTGGTTTTACTGCACTAATGGAAAAAAAAAAGTTATTTGAATTTTGAAAATTTGTTTTTATTTGTGCTTTTTCCAAAATAGCTACACTGACACAAGTCAGTATTTCTTTCACTCACTTATGCCTGCCCCTATTTTGGGAATGCAAATTGCAAGTTATTTTTCCCTCTGTTTCCCTTGGTGGTATCTGAGTAAGGCTTGGTGGTATCTGAGTAATATTTCTCAGGATGCTGGGTCAAAAGACAACAACTTCACTGCCTGCAGCAACAGACAACAGAATCAACCAAGGATTCCTGCTTCTTCTGGGAAGATAACACTAATGAGCTTCTCTGTACCATGGACTCTCTCACGTGAGGCAGAATCCCAGCGAGAGCCTCCTTGGAGCAGCCTGGCTGCAGTGTCCCCAGCCTGCTCTGGTGCTCAGAAAGGACAACTGAGCCCCAAGTCACACAATTCAGATTCACTGTGCATTCTCCCTGAAGGTCTGGGACACACCACTAGGACTCAAAAATCAGTAGTGTGAGAGAGCAAATCATAGTTACTCACATAGTTTGCATGCAGCACAGTGAAGAACTCAGGATTGGTGATGAACTTCACAGCTGGAGACTGCAGCAACAAGGTGATTTTTTGAGAATTCACAGGAGAAAGGGAACCTTCCCTCCTAATCTCTGGAAAAAAAAAAAAAAAGCCACAGAATCTTATTAATGTAGTGGCAAGCACAGTCTATTATTTAACCTTTCAGAAACATCTGCAGAAGTGATGATATAAAAAAAGTACCACCTGCCCAATGCACCTACCTTGGCATTCCCAAGACAAGCAAACTGATACATGTCCTTATGTTTGGTGATGCAGTGTGTACCACAGCAGTGCAGGAGCTGGATGCCTTCCTGAACTGTAGCTTATGAAACTCTGTGTCAAGTCTGCTTCTGTCCCCAAGTATAATGTAACCACAGCAGTTTCCACCAGGTAATGGTTTGGTTCAGTCACCCAGGTCCATTCTGGTTTCCCCTGCAGCTGATTTTAGAGAAATCTGATCTCTAATTCCAGCATTACCCTTTACTTTACTTGCACTAGTTTTGACAAGTCCAAGGTTTTGGGGACTTGTATGATAAAAAAAAAAAAAAAAAAAAAAAAAAAAACAAAAAACAAAAAAAACCAAACCACCAAAACCAGACACAATTGCATTATTTTTTATCTATATCTGTTAATGAAGCACAGGAGCAGAACTGAGCACTGAGATTGTAACCCTGTACAGGTAGAATGCCTTTAGCTAACAGAAAAATTCTCCCTATCATTGAATTATTGCTTTGGTGTTCTGGAATTTTCAAGTAAAACTACATTTTATTTGCAGTTCAAGAAAACTGGAGGCAGATGTCATCAACAGAATAAATAAAATTTCATTTTTTTTTATTATTGGTTATAACTTCTTTTTTTATTCTTGCTGCACACATCATATTATTTTATCAATTTAAAACTGCAGACTGGGTCAGTTTCTTCAGTTAAATTGATTTATACTAGCTCAGAACCTGGATTAATGTGCCTTAATTGTATTCCTTCTGACATTTTTCATTTAAATTAAAAGGCAAATAACAAATGTATAATACTGCAGCTTTTTCTTTCCCTAATGTGTTTACACCATCATTGACCTTCTAATTATTGGAATTTCATACAATATTGATGTTTTCTTCCAAAAGCGAAGAAATTATCTATAGCAAAAACCATTTCCTAATAACTTATGGTAACATTTATCACACTGATTAGTTCTTTGCGTTTAAAACAAGAGTACATGTTAAATAATAAACTGAACCAAATACTTAGTGGTGGCAACCCCTATTAAATTACTATTTTATTGTCTATGATACTAAATAATTATACATATTACAAGTAATGGCTACATTACTTATAAATACTAATAATTCAATGTGTACCTCATTTCAACTTCTCTGACATAAGAGAACTGGAATCTCCTTATAAGATCCACTGTAGGTAGAAGTCCCTCTTTAATCACAATACAAAAGATATTATAAGATATAAAAGTAAGGAAACTTTGAGCATCAAGTGTTAAACATCCTTGGCCAAAACTGATTTTCAAGCTAAAAAAACCTAATGGATCAAACCAAACAAAATAGGGTATTTTTCTAAAATTGTTAAAAAAAATTTATTATTTTTCTATGTATGTTTTCCTATTCAACATGGAAAACTAAGAAAATTAAAGCAGATGCTGTGCTGGTTCTTTACAATTACCAATCCTATTTACAGAGGGATGGCAAAACGATAGCAAGAAGTTGGATTTATGCATGGCAGACAATACAGAACACAAAGTTTGGTGAAGGTAAGAGTGATCCAAAGGAAGACAACTGGTCAATCATTTTGCTGGTGCTAACAAAGCAGGGAGTTATTTTTTGCAAGGTCTCAGGTTGCATAAGGGGCATCAGACTGATTGCTGATACCTCCTACTTGAAACAAACACTTAAGACTATGGTTTCCCGAATGTTTTGAGAAAACATTTTTGGTAGGAATGTGATTACCAACAAAAAGAGTAGAAGAGACCCCTGCCATCCCATCCTGCCTTGGGTACATGTTTTCCTCTTCTGCTTTGTGTGACCCTCACTCTTGTCTCCTTATCTAACAAGCTAGATGAAAGATCCAATCTGGCTATAAATGACAAGGACAAGAAGCCAGGCTATTTCAGTTCTCCACTGAGAACTGAACTCCAGGCAGTTCAGTTCTCCACTGTAGTATGGGGTCCTGTCACATAAATTAGTGGTGAACAAAAAGACAGCTGTGCCTTCTTTGGTGACAGCCCACACTTAGGTCAGCTTCACAGCTATCACAAAACCACCCCTTTCAAAACCACAAGTATTTCATACATGATGCCAGGGCCGCTGCAGGTGCAATCACATGGGCAAATGTGGCAGTGCAGAAGCCAAGCCTAACAAAAATAAAGTGCAAATGCCCCAAGCTAAAAATCACATGGCCACAAAAATAAGACAGCACTATTTTTGCAACTACTAGGTGAATTGTATTCACCTAGCAGTTGCAAAATGCCTCTTTCATTTTAGTTTCAAATGGCCCTTTACTAAGGTAAAAATGCTTTGTCTGTCTGAATAGTTGTTAAAGAAGAACTGAAACTGTTGTATCCAGCATTGTGCACATTTAAAAACCTTATCTTCAGGTCTTTTTTTTTTTTTTTAATTGGGTTTTTCAACCTGGTATAACAAAATTCCAGTCTCCCCTGGAAATGGCACTGAACATGCCACTCAGAAGCTTTGTTGCCCCATACCTGGGCTTGGCTGGGAAGGCTCTGCCTCAGAGTCACTTCCTCCTCCAGTGGGAACTCTCTCCACCCTGTTGTTTACCACAACATCATCTTCAGTCCTCTCTGTTGCAATGGTTCGCTGGATGTTTTGGTACCTAGATACATTCATCGAAAGGAACAACAAGATTTAGTTAATAGAGGTGCTTTCTGTTGCTTTCTGCTTTAACAATCTGCACTGTTTCTGAATGACTCCAATATTTCTATCTTCAGTGTACAACAGAGTAAGAGCACAGCTGACTCTTCTCTTGCAGCTGATGCAGCTGCTCACACTCAGGCCAACCAGTACTCTGCAAATTTGGCGTTTCCCGCTGACTAACAAATAGCCACAGAGGGTGCAAAGTCAGGAATATTCAAACTTTAGACATATATTCAGGCTACGTGCTGCTACTTCATGGCTTCCCTTTAAAACATCTGGAACCCAAAACTAGAGGTGGATCAGGACTCCTCCTCTCATGTAGCCTTATGAAAGCATAACCAATGAAGTAAGGACCAACCCTCTGACATGTCAGGTGACCTTCAGTCTTTCTTATTAAATTACTGGATGTGCATCCTGAACCCTGAAAATAAATCTTCTTTACCTGATGAAGAACAAATAGCCTGGAGTGTTTTGAATTCACACTACAGAAATCAAATTCTCCTTAACTTGTTCACTCATAGTGACAGACGAATTGGTGAACATGTTTTCTTTCTTTGGTTCTACTGGCAAATTAGGACTTCTTATGTGTATTATAAATGCATTTTATACAGAAAGAGAGAAGGGAAGAAAAAGAAAGCATAAGGAGAAAAAAAGAACTAGAAAGAGAAAGAAAAGCAAAGCTAGAAAACAGACTCTTAATTATTTTGATTAGCTTTTATTCCATCCTGATAATTTTAATCCTTCTTTCTTCATGGCATTTTCGTATGTATTTGAAACAGGATGGCTTTGCGGCCTGTTTTTAAATCTGATCCAGCATTGTTTGTATTTAATTTTTCTGACTTACACTCTTTGCTTTCCTCAGCTCAAGCTCCGACTTATAGATTTTACTTACTTTCTGTCTCTTTATTTGTTAATGCACACTTTATTCCAAATTAGAAGTTAGCCATGAGTACGTTCCTCAAAGTGACACAGGATCATTAAAGACAATAGTTAGGGTTTGGCTTTTTGATATCTCAAAAAACATAATCTCCAGTAGCTCACTGCAAGCCAATCTTAGGTGAAAGGGGTGGAGAGAATTAGGAAAAAATAATTAAAGTTTTAATAGATTTATATTAAAATTTCACAATGTTATGTGTTCCCCTCTAGTACTCAAAGTCTTTTAAAGCTACATTTAATGTATATTTTGATAGTTTAAGAAAACATCCATCTTTACAAGGAAATTCTGATAGCAGGTATTGCAACAGCATGAATTTACTGCAGCTGTAAATCCTGTTTTAGACCTACATTTTGCAGCTTTACTCACTTGACTGCAGACAACTGAATGAAATTTCCATTCCAGTACTGGAGGAGTTTTACAACACCCACATACAATAGAAAGGAAAGGAAAAACCAACCACAAAACACCCCAGGTTCATATAATCAAGAGATATAAGCACACATATAGAAAAATGCTGTACCTTCAATTTAATAAGATGGTAGAAAATCCCCACTTGCAAACCTCAAAGAGCAACAGCAGCTGTATGCCAACAAAAGGCTATGCATTTCTTTTGCATCTCAATACTATAAAATCACCTTATATAAATACCCCAAAATGCCAAAGTAATTGGAGAAAACATTGGAAGTGCAGAAGTTATAGGAATGCCTCTGGAAATTTCAGTCTCTTTTCAAAGTGATTTGTCAAAGAAATGGAGCTTAAGAAATACCACACTGTGGCTGTCCTAACCATGATGGTTGTAATTTCTTATGTTGATTATTCTCTTTCAAACTAATGCAAAGACAAGCCTAGACATACATATGCTGCAAAGTATCCTTTCAACAGAGCTTGAACAACAAGGGCTGTTATCTCCTTGACCAACAGTTAGTAAGCAAGTCAGGTAGTGCTCCAGAAAATGAGCAAGAGCCTTTAAAATTAGAAGCATGGATGTTTCTTTGGTGTTTGCCCAACACCTGGATTCCAGTTTTACATTCCCTTTATTCTCAAGTGGCTCTTACAACTAAAGAGAAGCTTGGAGCACAGAAGGAAAGCAGGACTAGGTTTAATCACAGGTATGGGGTTTTTTTCAAGCAGAATTTCCAAAGCTTTGTGGTTTTGACAGGGCTGGAAATACCAAGCTTCCTTGTAATATTTTGGTCTTTCCATTCCCTTACACAAATTAAACCAGGAAGCCAAAAAAAAAAGTAAATTTGTTTAAAAGAAAAGTCACCAAGCTTTTTCAAACTGTGGAGTGATGTTGAGTCCAAATTTTGTTTAAGGTTAGAGCAAAAGTTCAGGCTGCTGCTAATTCTATCAGCAAGGTCCATGTTTGCTGTTGACTCACCTAAAATGGCTCTCAGGTGTGTTTGCTGAAAAACATTTCAAATCATTAAGTTTGAAACACAACAAAACAGAATTCTGAAATGAGGGCTTAAAACAAAGTCCAATCCTCCACAGTGTTGATAATAACTATGAAAAGCAGCTACCCTGACATTCCTGAAATGTGGAGACATGAAATATCTGAAATTAGATTTAGGACTAGAATAACTTTAAAAAATATAACAGCCAGATTAAAACTACAAAAATTACTTGCTGCTGGGCAAATACTTAGGAGATTCAGTATGAATCCCTTTTATTAATATCTTAGGAAAAGTTCACAGGTAACAATAGGAGATATTTGTATTCAGCTTCTCAAAACAATCGAGCTCCTTGGCAGAGGGGAGAGAATCACTGGCTTTTTTCCTTAGTCCCAAGAAGCCATGACATTTCATGTTTAATAAACTGCAGTCTCCAATGGAACTTGCATAAGTAAAGATTTACCACTGCTGAAAACTCCATACTTCTGCCTTTGTAACTGGATATATGAATACTAAAAATGGAGAGATTCAAAGAATATTAAACTTGTTAATGTCCAACTCCCAACCCAAACTAGAGATAGTCAATTAACACCGAAGACAGACAGACAGCCTACATGAAAACACTGAATAATATGAGGGAAGGAGGTCACAAAGACACTTCATTCTGCTGTGATAGGTGGTTTATTGATTAACCTGCATTAACTAACAGCAGACTGGTAAATCACTCTTATAGGCATTTATTCCTTTGATGGTTGTTCTGCACTTCCATCTTCCATCTTCCATGAGTTCAGCCTCAAAAAAAAAAAAAAAAAAAAAAAAAAAAAAAAAAAAAAAAAAAAAAAAAAAAAAAAAAAAAAAAAAAAAAAAAAAAAAATTGGATGTATCTCCACAACAGCTTTCTGGTTTCTGTGGCAGATAACTTGCTTAAATGGTAGCCAAATAGTCTGAGCTTTGACAAGGCTAAAATCCCTCTTGAAGACCAGTGCTAAATGGCAGTGAAGTCATGTAAATCCCTTGAAAGAATCTACATTAAACATTCACTTTCTTTAGGGTTTTTTTTTTGCTTTTTTTTTTTTTTAAATATTAACATGGCATCTTGAGGCTTTATGAGCAAACCTATAATGAAAACAAATACAGAGCAGGTTCTCTCATTTCTGCAAGACATAACTATGCTATGAAATACTACTCAAAATAATGCATTTTGGTAAAAAAGGATTACTCTTCAAGAGTGTTTTGATGGTGTCAGTTTAAGTTGGCCCTGTTCTCCCAGACTGCCTCATTAAGGGCACAGCAGCTCCCAAACTATTCAAAGCACTCTGAAAAGACCACTTTTAAACCCTGCATCCTTCTCTCAGCTGCAGATCTTTCTCTTAGCACAGAAGAAAAGGCCAAAAAACTTTTGTGGCATTTTATATGCTATAATTAAAAGATAATTTCAGTCTTGCTTATCCTTTTCTAGAAAAGGCATCATTATAGTAAGCAGGGAATTAAAAAAACAAAAACAAAAACCAAACCCTTTTTTTAAGCAAAAATGGAAGATTTTTGACCAGCTGCTTATTTTTTTTCTTTCCTCTTGAATTCAGTCTAAAAAGCAAGCATGAGAAGAAAGTGATAAAAAATCTATGTGTGGACTAGTCAAACAAAGCTAAAATATAGACGACGTTAAGAGGTATCTCAGCCAGCTCAGAATGAACTGACAGATTTACAGGGCCCAGTGCAACACTAAGCAGACCTGTCTACCTCTAGAAATGTGCATGGTCCTATGAGAGCAGAGCTCTGCCCTGGGAAAGGAGACAGACCTTTCAACAGGCCTAATTAGCTTGGGTAGAAATGCCACACGGCAGCAATTCCAGTCAGGTCCCAAAAAGCTTTGCAGCACAGCACTAGGAGCTGACCCATCAACAGCGCTGCTACCAGTTAAGTAGCTAAAGTGACTCCATGCTTTGGAAGAATACTTCCTCCCCTTCTCGTGCAAATGCTCACCGGCGGTTCAGCTGCTCCATTTGCTGGATGGAGCCAGACCTGTGGATCCCGTCTGGTGTTGCTGCGGCTGTGGGCCGCTGCCACGTGGTGGTGCGGTTGACATGATCCACGTAGAACACTCTCCCATGGCTGTCTATCCGAGCTTCCCAATCTAAGGTTGGAAAAAAAGGAAGGGGTGATGCTGTAAGTGGGATGCCTTCCAGAAAACCTGTGTGTGGGAGGTATATACAGACACATACACATACACAGCAGGGTATATACACACAGGAGATACTATACATATATATATATATATATATATATATATAGCCTACATGCAATACATACCATGTGTATATATTCAAAGTACACAGTCAAGTGAGTGTTTCTATCATTTGCTTGTCTATATATACATATATGCAGAATATGCATATACAGAAACATTTCGTACACAGCACACAGGTAGGCCATGGAGTTCGCTACCACGGCACATGAAAAAAATAGTGATACATAGGGGCTACATTTTTAAAAAGTTGAGGTATTTTTTCAATTAGGGATACTGCTTGGCTGGATTCACTGCAGGTCGGAGTAGCCACAAAGAACCAACCCTTACAAGATTACATCTGAGCTAATATGGCAAATCCCATTTTTTCTTTTTGCTATGTTTCAGAACAAACATGTTTCATTTCTCTCCCTTTTGCAAAGTGGCTTCAAAGGACAGCATACAGCAATTAAAGGCTTCACTGAGAACAGATCACAGCCTCTTTGGACATACCTTAGAAATCTCTCTAAATAGAGAATTGCTCTCATCAATGCAAACTAGATTGAAAGTTTGTAGAACAATATTGAGCCTTCTATGATTATTGTTTCCTGCTACTGTTATTGATCTCCCATGACTGAAAACTAAAAATTATTTGGTATATGATGGCTTGTGGAAAATGGTAATGTTGATAAAAAAATAGAGTTTGTGACAGAAGAAATTCAGAAGTGAGTTAGCAAGCAAAGCCACGTATCAAACTGGTTGGAATGCATGGAGAAATGGAATAAATTAGGCTTGCTAGTTTCATATTCCCACATGATCCATCATCTGATGACATATCTATGTAAATACATGCACATACTTTCTACACGGGTTTAGATGCAAACCTCACTCGCATTCACACACAAATCCACATATGGTGATTACCTTTGAGGGCAAACACTTCCTCATACTCCCATATTCTTACTATGATGCCATCTTCCCTGATGAGTTCACTCCTCCTATGGTTTTCTATGATCAAATTCAGGATCATCTGAATTTCATACTTTATGTATTTCATTTCCTATTCTAAGAGCAGGATGGAAATTGCACCTTTTCCTACTATATTTGGAAACTGATCCTTCATGACCAGTTCCCATCCTTTGAATGTTGGCCCTGACTAAATCTACTTCCCATAATTGATCCCAGACAAATGTAGGCTGTCTGAGGACCATGGCTAGTTGCCCCTGATAGCTGAATCCCACAGATCTTAAAAGATGGGTGCTGGGAGTCCTTGGAGAAATCTTCTGCAAGACTCAAAGACATGAAGAGCCATAAACACATGCATTGCTTCTTTCAAAGCAACCACAGTCCTTAAAGACACAACCCTATGGGCACACATGCAGCATCTCTCACTGTGAAAATCACTACATTATTTAAGGAGAGGATTACTCTCTTCCTCCTCCAGGTAAAGTTTCCCAAGGATGTGGTAGATGTTTCAAGAACAAGATCACAGCTTTGTGAAAACCATGTCTAGAACATAAGACAGTGAAAAAAGCACATCAAATGCAACATATGCACATTGAGGTAAATCAGACTGACACATAAGGCAGGTTGAAGGTCAGAGCCTTGCTGAGCATGCTGGCACTGGTGGCAGGTATACCACTGTGGGTGGGAAATGGCCCTTCTGTAGATATGCATTATCTGCGGTATCCTCAAGGAAATAACCTTGACAAGATCAAAGATGACCCAGCTCAACATCATGAAGATCTCAATTTTCCTTGCTGTTTTCTGGCAAAGAATGAATCCTAGCCCTCACTCCACACTATTGTTGTACCTCATAACTAGTTAAGAATGACATAGGTCGACAGAGGATTAGAAGCTTGTAGGCAGTGCTGTAGAACCACACTCTAGACAGCTTACAGAAGAAACCAATTGGTCATATTGGTCTAAAGCCTGCTGATGTACACTTAACAAGAATAAATATATTCAGTTACACAGCCAAACAAGGTTTTATAATAGATCCCTGTGCACCATTATCTCTACAGGCTCTTTTGCACTAATTAAACACAACTTAGAGTTCTTAAGCTTCTAAGCATGATATTTGGAAACTTAGGAGTAAGGAAGCTTGTCCAGAACTTGGAAATCACAGTGAAAACATCAGGTCAGTGTGGATTATGACTTCCAGAAGGCTGTCACTTGTTGGATGTGTCAGACATACATCAGCAGTATGTACAGACACAAACTACACATGTCAGTGAGTGTTGCTTTATTCACTGATTTACGGGTATGTCCACCTGAAACCATGGGCTGACACTGGCATGCTAAAATATTATAAACTGTGTGTCTTATGATCCTTGCAATAGCATTTTTAGTCAGCTGAGTAACTCTTCTTTTGGTTACCTGGGCTGTCAGAGGGTGGCAGGTACAATTTAGTTCTATGCAAGTAGCAGGTGTACTTCCTATCTTCCCATAAGACAGCCTGTAAGTCATACAAGTCACTGAAGCTCCCTGAATATGATACCAGATTTATGGACAGATGGATAGATACCTGCACAGTGAGACAAACAGACTGACAGGTGAACAGACAGGCAGAACTCTGCTTCCAAGCTGTGCTCAAGTCCCTTCATGCTACTTCAGGGGCAAAGGTGATCTTGGAAGCAGCCAAATTTCCTCAGGGTCTTTTGTTAAGTTTTCCAGTTAAAATAAGACTGTGACTACTACAAAGACTAACCTCTATCTAACCTTTACAGTAAGAGCATGCTAGAGCATGGGCTAGGGATGTAAGAGTACTGGTTCTGTTCTCCAGTGATCCCCCTCCATCAGCCAAGCCATATTTCACAGCAGCATCTGAAACTGCTCAGATTTATATCAGAAGATGTAACTTTTTCTGGCAGGATCATGAGGGCAAAGAAAATACATTGTTTTTTCCTCTCCAAGCTCATCCACGCCTTCAGCAAAGCACAGCTCTGAACTGGGCACATGTATTTTTCTTGGCTTCAGTTCTGTAGGGTTTCCAAACACAGGCATAATAAGGAGTGACTGGTAATGCCGTCATGAGGCCATGCAAACACCGCAAACACTGCTGTTAATCTCATATCAGACTTAGCCTTCAGACTGGTCATTATGAAACTCCTACATAAATAATGAATCTGTTCTCTTAATTTTCCCAAATAAAACTGTCTGAAATTAAATTTCCTCCCCAAGACCAGCTGTTGTTGAATTATGATGAAATCAAGCTATTCAGAAAACTATTCAAAAGAGAAAGAAGACTGTTCAGAAGATTCTCCATGATCTAAATAAAATCAGTCAACACCGAACTTGCAGCACAAGCAGATTACCTTCACCTCTGCTGATAGATGGAAGCCAACACTGCACAAGAAAAGTAAGCCACCTTGATCATATATCTTGGGTTTAAAATATAAAGTTTTTTCCTTTCACATGATTGAAGAACTATTTATCTAGGATTAGGAGTTATTAAAGGGACTGAGATAGTAATATTGAATTCAAAGAGAAGAAAAACTTCTGGATTAAGGCTATGGTTTTCATTTTGAAATTACTGTAAAATTCCATGGAGAGAATTTGGAAATCAGTTTCCTAAGTGATATTATTAAATTCAACGTTTTTTCCCACTCAAAGTTAACTTAGTACATCTATTCCTATTAAGATCAATATATTTAAGCCCACAGTGTCAGCCTTCATTGTAAAAATGGTGTTATAGTCTAATGCTGAAACAAAATCCTACAAAGGAATATCACTTCTGTACTTTATCATCACATATTGCATTTAATGTCCTTACACCCTGTTGTGAAAGCACTTGAGAAAACCAGTGGTAGAAACACTTGCCTTTTGAGGATAACTATAAGAAAGAGGAAAAATGTATTAAATTAGTGCTGGAAGAACATGGAATAGATTTACAGTATATTCTGTTTACCTGAGCTGGTGTTAGTGTGCTATCATTAAGTCATCTAATAGGGAATGTGCCTGATCCACAAAGTGTTGTGGTAAGAGTGGGAGGAAGAGAAATATTTCCCTGTTACAGAGGTAACCGTTCCCATTTCATCATTCACTGGCAAGCCACAGTGGGACTCTAAAAAGACTTTATTGGGCAAAAGGCATTTGAATCATTCATGCTACTGTGTGGCTGACGCCAGCATCGGGGCTATTTTCAGCTCAGGGAATACTGACAGCATGGTTGGCAAATGATGAATTATTTGTCAAGGGCACCATACGCCAAATAAGCGTGTTCCCGTCTTGGGCTTTGAAGAAAATAGAGCGCTTTGTTTGTATGCCTGGTTGTTTTTGTGAGGCACTGCACATTTCAGGCTGTGAAATCCTGCGCTCAGTTGAAAGGTGATCAGCCGCACGTCGCAGGGCACAGAGTGAGCTCTGCTGGGCACCGAACGCCAGTGCAAGAAGCAGGGTAATCCTCTGGGAATCCATAAAGGAAAGGCTACAGAGACAAATAAAATCAACTCCAGCAGCTGCTTTGGTGTTAAAAACCCTGTATTATCAGGCTGGTAATCTATTACACTATTTAAAACCCTCTCACTTTTATTCAATGCAAGTGTAGGCTCCACTACAGTGCATAATGAACATCAAGTTCACTGATTATCAAATCCAAGGACACTATAACAAAACCACCTCTACATGAGCTGCCTTTTCCCAACTTCTGCTGGTTTGGTTCAGATTTGGACCTTTCTGTCCCTGGAGCATCCTCGCTGTGAAAGGGCTGCTGCAGGACCTGCATGCAGACTTGACAGACCACATGGATGGCCATCCCAAACCATCTTTGAAGTTGGTTACAGAAAACTGGAGACAAGTGTTACAGAAAAATCAGAGTACTTTGCTGATACACCATCCAGAAAGCTGTATGGCCAGGCTTCCAGAACAACAGAAAAAAAGACAGATCCCAATCACTGAAGTCTGAACACATTGACTGGAAAAAGGGAATGATATTTTCATTTCAGGGAAGAAGATGGACCAAGGCAGAGAGGGAGGTTATGGAGCTTGTCCAAAACAACACAACAACACTTGAAGTCAGGATCAAATAAGGGAAACAAAAGGGCATATTGCTTGGGTTCTGGAGAATGTATATACAGAACAGATGGGGTTCTTCAGAAAGACATACTGACCTCTACACTGTTTGAGTTAACAGGAAAAGCTGAAAAAATGCAATAAAATAAAAAAACTAAAGCTTACTTGGTGGAAGAGGCTCATCGATAGTTGGGTAGTGATGATGGTCAGGCCTCAGAGAAGGAAGCTGGCTGACTGGCTGAGAATTATGGAGTAAAGGACAATCACCTATGGACAAGATATTCAAGACATTGACAGTCATTCATTGTTTTTACAATGTGGTTCAAAAAATGTGTTACTGTAAAACAAGTGGTTATTTTAAAAATAGGTTAACCTGATGTACTAGCATCTCTGAGTATTCCTATTTTCAAGGCACTATTTTAATAGCAACTCATACGGCAAAGAAGTATTAAAATAATGCAGTCAAGTCTCTTGAGTCAATGCTGAACCATTATGGGCCAGATTTTAGACTCACAGACACACAAGTGTAAGCGATAGAAAAATCAGGCTTGATCTTTGAGAAATACTATTCACGTACAACTAAGCTCAAGCTTCTGCAGCAAATGGCAGGAACATGCAAAATCCTGGTTCCAACTCATTCCATCAGTGGAATAAAAGGCTAAAAATCTGCCTTGGATCTTTCTCTCCTTTTCAAAAAGATCAATGGCTGCATGTGTAGACTGTAATGGCAGGATTTTGCAGTCCCTGCAAAGCAGAAGATCATCTCCTTCCATAGGTATTTTTCAAAGAGTCCATCTTGGGTTGAAGGAGAGAGAATGAGAGGACCAGAAACAGGTAGGAGACAGGTGGTAGAAGAGAAGGACAAAAGATAGCAAGATATAGTCAGGATCTGAGATAAGGAAGGAAAACCTGAGATAGAGAAGAGGGAAAGAAGAAGAAGAAGCAGAAGAAGAAAAAGAAGAAAAAGAGTCACACAGGATATAATGCAAAGTAAGTTTTTAAACACTAGCATTGTATATACGTCCGTATATAGAATCACAGAATGGCTTGGATTGGAACGGACATTAAAGATTGTCTCATTCCAATTGCCCTGCCATATTTAAATATGAAATAAATGAAACCTATGTAAATGTCAAAACTCATGTTCTCTTGAGAAGAACAAACAATTTAAGATCAAGTCAATGCTTATAGAATCTTTTAAGAAACTAAGAAGTTCTAGTAGGGATGAAAAAGCATTCCATGTCTTAGACTTAACATGCTAAAACTTCACTGGTTCCAGAATAAAGATTCCTTCTTGCCCTGTCTCTAAAATCTTAGAAACCAGGACTATTTATCTTACTAATGGACATATTTGCATATTGTGTAGTAACATTTTTTTACTATAACTTCCAGCTTGGCTTGTTAATACAGATATACTCTGAATTGCATAAACATAATATTTACTTGCATCAGAAAGATGCAGCTTATGGAAAAAGATATATTAAGCTGAGTGGTTCTGGTGATTCTGGGAATGCTAAGCCAAATTCACTGTGTACCAGCTGGTTTAGCTCTCCTTAATGGCAGAATCTTAACAGCCTAAGAATTAATATTTTGTAAAGATCCCTAAACGTATACCAATCAAATGTAAAAAAAAATTTACTAAAAAAATATTTTTTTTTTTAAAAAAAGCAACAGCTAGAATGCAGAAGCCAGTTTTGTATAAAACTGTAAAAAACCTCACACCACTCAGAAATGAGAAAAACCACTTAGACAAAAATACTCCCCCTTCTAGGTGCTCTGATGATACCATGTGGCCTGTTAAATGCCTTCATTAAACCACTTGTGTATAGGCATATCTCACATGCATATCTGCTGCATGTTTTGAACAGACAGCAGAGTTACATAAGTTTACGACTCAGTGCTAAAAGTCCACAGCCTTAAAAATTGTGCTGTTACTACAGGTGTAGCACCGACTACCAGATCTACCCATCTATGTTTCTTTACTTACCTCACCACAATTGACTCTCCCCTAGTCAAGATAGTTACGCCAAGCCAGCGGAAGCATGGTAGTGTCAGTCACCTGGAGTGGGTGGAGGTGACCACATCTACTTGTACTTGTAACAGCTGCCAAGTCATGGAGCAATGCACACATTGACTGAGGCATCCCCAGTGACACCGAGAGAGTGCTAAGATCTGGGCTGCCCTTCAGACACATGGTCAGCTAACCAAGGCAAAGCCACCATGGACACTGCAGTGCTCTTTATGGAGGCTCAAGTCTTGGTGCTGCACTGAATCCATATGCAGAGACATCCTCTCCCACCACATCCCCTATCAAAAAGTCACACAATTCAAAATAACCACCAAATCTGCACATACGATCTCACACATACACAAGCTCGTGCCCCCTTAGCTATACTTGCGTATAAATGCTGTTCACAAGCAAAGGCTGTCGCCTGCAATGAAGTAAGCTGGGTTTCTATGCCTGTGTACTTCTGAAAATTTAATGATTTGTACTAGATTCTGCTCTACAGACTCAGTAATTCCCTAGTCCCAGCTGTCTACAAAGTTTTTACACAGGCTGGTGCAATTTCTTTCTGCAGGGACAGGCTCTGTGGCAAAAGAAGTTGTGAGTAAATAAACTGGGAATGGAGAAAGAAAACATAGATTAATACTTTAATTGGAGTTCCTCAGCGATACCCGAAGAGGTTTTGCTGCCATTTTAATTCGGTATCACTTATAGAGGGAGACAGATTACTCAGAATTCGGGAGTGACCTTGCTGCGTACTCCTGAGCTGCAGCTGAGTCCTTCACTTCAGCTGGAGAAAAATTATACACTAGCTGAAGAAGAGAGGAGTGATCAACTCCCCTTCTCCATGTATCTGCAGAGAACATGAAAGGAGTTACCAAAGGTGGGGGGGGGGGACGGACGGACGGGGACTTCATTTAACTGTGAAGGAATTGGAAAAAAATAGTACCTAAATTAGAAGGACAAAAAAAAAAAGTATATTCTATCCCTAGGGAAGGATAGGGATACAAGAGTTTTATTTAATATAGTTAAATGTCCAAAGTATCTAAGAGAGTTGCCCTGTGATATCTAAGGTACATTTGTTTGACACTTGGAGAATTGGAAGAAATAGGACTCGAAAACTGTTTGTAAGAGCTTATGATTATGTATGGCTAACAAACATTTACAGAAACTGGCCCAGACCTTTATGTGGTGTGAATCAGCATATCTGCCCTTTGACAAGCTCAAGCTGGTCCTCTCACTGACTATCAGAGGTATGGCAGCACATCAGACACATGATATGGAAAAATCCCAGGAAAAAAGGAATGAGTTGGTGGATGTGATAATGCTGATCTGCCACATAACTAAAGTAGCTGATCTTGATTTTTTAATGATGCATGTATATCTACAGTAATTCATATATACAGATCCCTACCTGATTTAGTTGGTTTTGTTGAGATTTTTAAGGACAGGCTCAATTATCCAACCCTCCCTTATACCTGGCCCATCTCACAGCCCCTGAGTTTGTAAGAAATAAACCATGAGCTATTCAAAACCTCAATTATCTGATGCCTTCTGTGACATCTAGATAATCAGGGTTGCCCAGAGCACCAGTTCTCAGGATCTAACCTTCTCTTCTGCTGCTTGGACCTGCTACTGGGGCGTCTAGACCCTCTGTGGCTCTCTGTGGATTCCCACCATGAGCTACTAGTTCATCTGGCCACTGGGAGGAGCCATCCACTTGCTCCCTGTCCAGCTCAGGGCTCTGCACTGAATCTGGCACTGACTCAAAAGCACTGTTCTCCTCCTCATCATCATCCTGTGAGGAAAAGACCGTGCTCTCAGAAATCTTTGCGCTGTCGACGGAGGAGAAGCGCGTATGGCTGGAGAAGCGATTGTTACTGTCGTAGCAGGAGGTGCTGTAGCAGGAAGTGCTGTAACAGGAGGTGCTGTAACAGGAGGTGCTGTAGCAAGAGGGGCTGTAGCAAGAGGTGTCGCATGCCTCACATTCGTTGTCACCATTGGGCCTGGAGCTTGACTCGCTCTCACTTCCTGTCCTGGGGGGTTCCCCATCCAACAGCCCATCATTCAAGTCAGAGAGTTGCTCATCCAAGGTCCCAGGAGGCATCGTGCTCTGGCTGAAGTTCTCTTCAGCCTCGTTTTCCAGAGGAGGCTCTGCTGCCACGGTCTCACTCTCACTGACCACTTCCTTATCCATCACCTCCTTGACAGTAGACTCCTCATCGTTCTCCCTGCCATTACCACCATCTTGCTCTTCTTCCCCATCGCTGCTCATCTGTGCTGAGGGCAAGCTGTGAAGCAGGTTGTGTATCCGTATGTAGTGTGTGCGAGGGGTCTCTGGCTCACCACAAGCTGAAGCTATGACTGTCTCAAGTTCAGACACAGGCAGGGAGCACGGCCTATTTTTCCTCTTTGCTGTGGTCCTCAGTTGTAGCTTGTTGTCTTCCTCCTCCTGTGCTGAAGCCCCTACTTCTTCATCCTGACTCTTCTCTAGGTCTTTGCCAGCATGCACATCTGCACTCACCTCATCAATATCTACTGTTTCTATGCTGGTCAAGACTCCACCATCTCCCTGAATACCAGAATTGACTTTGTTATTTTCCCTAACTTCGGGCTCAGGAGGAGACATGCAAGCCGTCAGATCCAACTGCTCCATGAGGTCCGTAGCACTCAAAGAAGGCAGCACTTCTCCTGGGATGGATTCCAAGGGCTCAGGAACTGGCACCGCATCAACCTCCCCATCTCCTGCTAGCTCTTCATTTAAGCTGTTCTGGTCGACTTCCCCAGGTGGTTTGACAGCCCCTGGGCTATCGACACTGTTCAAACTGTATCCATTTAGCTGTTCTGGAGCTGCACTTTCTGAGGTCACTGTGTTGATGCATGGAGGCTCACCGAGGCTTTCCTCTGTGGGGTTGTTCACAGGGCTTTCCGGGAGGTCAGCTGGCTCAGGATCTGCACTAATGGAGACCTCTTCATCATCTGTATGAGACAGGAAAAGGAATTACTTACTCTTTTAACAAAAAGTGTTGACTGAACTACAGGGTTGGCTGTGGGGGTATAAGCATCCACAGCAATCTGAGAAAATTAAAAGCATAAATTACAGTGTGAAATGAGTAGGCAACTGAACAACTATCAAGAAGTGCTGAGGGTTTTTCGCTAGGCAGTCTTTGTACATTGGATTTAATAATGGGTTTACTCATGGTGGTAATCTGTATGCAGCACCCTGCCCTCCTTGCAGCACTACCTGAAGGTAACACCTTCTTGAAACTTCTTCTGGAGCCAAAATGGCATCAGAGGAATATTATGGGAATCAGGGAAGTCTTCTCTGAGATTTCAATTATAGTCTTCTTGTCACACCAAAGCTGGCAAGACTCCACAACAGAGAATGCAAAGAACTGTTTTCACCACCCCTGAAAGGCAAAAACTTCCCCCAAATATCCCTTGACATGATCCTCATCTGTACCACCTCCTCTCAGATGTCAAACAACCTGGGCTCTTTCATGCCATCCAAATAGTCAAAAGACAGCAATGAGGGTTTCCCAGCATGTGAAAAGCAGTGATTTTCAACCTCTAATGCAGCTGCTGCTGGCTTGACAAACTGTAACAGAGAGGGAAGAGAGCCTGAGAAGCAAAGAGTCCCTGAGAAACACTGTTGAGACTGTGACACAAAAACCAAGGTTCAACCTTAGACCATCGTGACAGTCACTTCCAAATTACTACAAGAGACCATGAAGAAAGACCAAACCAAAAGGGAAGCAAAAAGTGGAACATAGAATTATTTTTTGTTTTACTTTTTAATTTTTCATTAAACACAATTAAATGAAGAAATTTTCTACTCATCTTTGCTATTACATTCTCCATTTTTACTTATGAAGTGCTCAAATGCAGATGACTACAAATAACACCCCATACAACACTTTCACTAGAGCAGGTGATAGAGAAGCAGATGAGACTTCAGTTTTCCACTCTCTCCTCTCCTAGTGATGTAGTGGAGTATTTGGAATAGCCAATAACAGGGGTATATGAGACACCAGTAGCTCTGTCCTAAGGGGAAAGAGGGAAGAAACTGTGGTTCATGATGCATCCTGTGATGCAGGACTTTTTCCCTTTGCTCATGACTGCTGCCCAGAGCAGCCAGGAATTAATGCAGATTTCTAAAGAGAAAGAATGCAAACGAACAAAAAAAATTTCTAGAAATGTAGATAAATGATGGGTTAAGACTGAGAATTACCTGGATGGATGGAGGAAGTTATCTCAAATCGGAACTGCAGCTGGCCACTGACATGATCTGTAGGAAGTCTGCGACCCAGAGTGTAGCTTACAACCCTGTCCCTGAAAGAAAACAAATATTGTCACAATAGACTATAACCTACCCTATGTCTACTGTGCATAGATAAATCTACTGTGTCCTAGAAAAATCCGTAATAAAATACATAAAGGCTATTCATCCCAGCCATGAGGGCATGTTGACTTGCATACAAGAGAACAAATGGCAGAGGAGAGGACAATGTCTTCAATTGCAATGGAACAGCTGAGTAAGTGAGTAAGACAGGCTGCTGGGACACACAAGCACATATGTATAAATATAGAGAGAATGGTGGGAATGAAACTTCTGCAATATGGGTATGAAAATAGTGACATGGGAAGCAAACAACTCCCACTTCAGCTATTGTAACAAGAATTCGCTTCCCTGCAGATCTGACCATCTACCTTTTCATAGAGCCTCGCATTTCTGTATTTTCATCCCTTCACCATGTCTGTAAAATTCAGCTTTCCTGTTCTTGTTTACAAAACCCTGTGCAGGACAGTTCCTGCACACCACCTGCTCTCTAAACTGGCTGAGTGACTGCTCTTCATCTCTTTCCACCCCTCTTACCTCTATGAAGCTGAAATATCAGGAGAACACCTTCCTGACAAGGTTGATCAATGACTCCATTCTGTTCTTGTGCAGGTCCCTCCCTTTGCCACACTTCATCCACCCCTCAGAACAGAATGAAACTACAGAAGAGATTAACTTCCCAGATGCCCACAATGAGGCTGAATCAATCTTTGCAAAGCATATCTTGAGTGTAACGGGTTCACTAAATAGTAATACTCATACATCTTTTGAAAGAAACATAGTTCACTTCCAGTTGAGCCAAATATACTTGTTAGCATAGTTTCACATGCATCAGAAACTCATATAAATGAGACGACCTTGAGATTTGCGTACAACCTCTTTAAACTTGTGTGCATACTTTTCACTGAGCTTGTCTGAGATTTAAATGCCACTATGGTATTAAAACTGAGCCAGATCTAGTGCAGGCTGGAGGCACTGCTCTTGGCAAAGTATATCCTTAGATAGACAGTGTTTACAACAAGGAAGTAAAATAGGAAGTTATAATCAGAAGATGATGAGAAATCTCATACAGAGGAAAACCAGTGATACCAGTTACAGGGTTCTACCTTCCCCAAGCTGTTCTTATCCATCTGGTTTCTAAAAAGCTACTCTATCTTCTCTACTTGAGAAACAGGGAGGTAGCTTAGTCCCTTCTGGTAGATTCAGCTGTCAATATCACAGCCAGTTTCTGAACCAGCCGTTCAAAAACACTTCCAACAAGCTCATCTTCCCGCTGTTCTGCTGAATTGAGATCCAATTATCAGAAATGCTTTCTTGGAAACTCCATTGCATATGCTTTCCTCAGAAGATGATTCTTTTTCTCCCTTGCTCTTCGAGGTCTGAACATTACAGGCTTAGAGACAGCTTTTTGGCTTTTTCTGATTACTATCCATCTTCCTTAAATTGGTTTGTGTTATTTTGGCAGCACACACTTTCCCAGGACTTTCATGCAATGGGGAAGCAGGGCAGCGCTTGTGAGCTCAAGGTTGTTCCTTGGCAGCAGGATAGGGTCAGAAAGCATTAGTTACAACATGCCACGTATATATTTTTATAATATTTCCCTTTTCCAGAAATTAGAAAGAGAAGAAACAGATCTGGCATGTTTTTAGCCCTTAGGTAATTCTCTGAAACATGAAAACAGCCGGCTGATAACATTAAAAGAATATCCAAATTGAAAAAATTGCACTCTCCAAATTCACAGCCATGATACACAAAAATAATTTTCTTTCCTAAATGCTAGCTCTCACTTTTCAAAATGCCATGCATACGGTTATAGAGGGAATTCTGTTTGGCCCATGGTCCTATAAATGCTAATTAAAACCAACACCATTTTTCAGACAACTGTCAGTTTAATAACTTTCCCTCAACATCATTATATCACAATAATGATCAGCAGGGACTTCAGAACAGCAACACACTCTTGTTAAACAATGTAAGCAGCAAAATTTACCCTATGGCATGTCTTTCCAAGAGGCGCTGAACCGGCATGGAGAGTTTTCCCAGAAAACGTTTGATGATCGGTCGGCTCTTTGCAAATTTGTCTTTAACTTCTATTTCCAGAACATCCGTGGGCAGGGACACAAAGCTGAATTGCTGAAATAGAAGAAGGGCACAGAACAATAAGATGGTGGCGGGGCCACAGCAACACAGAGTACTACAGCTGAGAGGCACACCTCAGCACAGAGATGTGAGGACCTAGTGAGGTGAAGGATACATGATCACTCTTTTCAGATAGATTGTTCTGAAATATCTCCTTTTCTATTCACCCGTGCCCCAGCTTAAAAAGGAAGAACTCTGAAAACTCTATTTATCTGGATCAGTCTCCTACCCTGGTTCACGCCACAGTCTCACAAAGAGCTCAACCAGAAGGCAAGCCACGGCACAGGCTACTGTCACAAACAGTACTGGGGAAAACAGGAACAGCACCATCTAAAACTGCTCCTGTCCCCAAGTGCATTGAAATGTGTTGACTGCTATCTCAGCTGGTCTGGTCATAAGAACATCTATTTGTCAGTAATATTTCAGTAAGCTTTTAGAGACTGTGTGCATGCAAATCTGGGGTAGGAACAAGGAGAGTGATATTTTAGGATACAGGAATAAGCATGAGAGCATTAAGGCACCTGGAGATGTCTAGATGTCCCAAAGATCAATTTAAAAATAGTAGTGATGAGGAAATATATTAGGTAACTTGGCTTTGCTTTCTCCTAACTGGCTGAATTTAGTACAGGTGCAGAGCTGGTGACACAGGTCACAATAATTTTTCCAAACAACTGCTACTACTAGAATATAATCAATCAAAAAAGCACATTTGTGCTGTGGTGCACGATAGTAGGAAAATTGTCAAACCACTGTTCACCTGAGAGCTCAGTATTGATCTGGGACACAGCTTCTGTGGTAAGTGAATATTGAGATGGATGAAAGGATTTTTCTAGCTTTCCCCCTGCCAAACCCAGTCCTCACAACAGAATCATTCTCTGGGTTATCAAGGCCTGGAATTATAGCCTAAATCACTTGCTCTGTTGAATCATGGTCTAATTCAGAGATGCTTAGTTTAAATGGCTTCAAGTGAAACCAACATGAGTGGGATATTCTATTAATCACACCTTGCAAAAACGTAATTAATCAGAGAAGTACAATTCAAATGAGATAAATTGTTATTTTATTCTTGTTTTCTTCTACATCTTTGCAAGAGGCTACCAATTAAAATAAATGCACCAAACAGGAGCACCTGAATTCCCCATGTATAACAGAAAGTTGCCTTAAAAAATAAGATGTCTTACTATTACTATTTCACCTGCTAAAAACCTTGAGTAACTACCAGTTCATGACACTTGAAAGCAGAAGAGGGGAATTAATTTTAAAATTAATTATTGTAACATAGAGCAATTTACCATTTGATGAATTCTCCTTTTTTGTGGTGTTGACTCCTATATTGTAAAAGTCTCTGTGGGGTGGATCATGCACACACACAGAGAGCAAACTGTCCACAAGTGAAAAGCAAAATGTAGGTTTAATGATTCAAATCTCCTGAGGTCAATAATATATTGTCTTGTGGTGCAACTCTGAAGCAAATCAGAATCTGTATGGAAATTTATTTTCACAGTATCATAGGAACCAAGCCTGATAACTCCTTCCTTGCACAGGACACATATTGACCTTTCCCAGAGTCATAATCAGCACCTGAGCAGAGAGTGTGGACCCAAGAAGGAAGATGTATTGGAATCAGCCAAAGAAAATGTCCCTTTTCCCTTGAACAGCTGTGCCTCAAGACATACAAACACCAGGATATTCCATAAGAAGTGTAAAATCCAATCGAGTTCAGATTCCATCACCTGCCAGACTGTTGCACTCTGGTATACCAAGACTGCCCTGGGACCAGGCCCTGGTCCATGATCACAGCTCCCAAATGTTTCCTCTAGAAGGATGTTCTCACTCATAAAACTAGCAGTATTTTGGAAACACAGTTAAGCCTTTAAGACCACAAGTTTCCTGTGGCAGAGCTCAAAGGCTTTGCCATTTGGAGGCAGCTGCAGTTTGAGATCAAAAGTGAACTCACTGAAATGGGTTTGGACACTGCTTGTAAAACAGTGATAATTTTACATAATTGAGTTTTCCTTTATCTACGAAGTTGCTCCTGCTGTTGCTCTCATCTAGTTTAAATCTTATCAGGCAAGATTTTTCTAAGGCAATTTCTGACTGCAGGAATGGGCCTCTAGCCCTTTGAAAAAACAGATCGCAGCAAAACACCTTGGTTGGAAAACTCAGAGATTTACAAATGTATTTTCAAAAATCACCAATCACTTTTGAAAACATGTTTCTTGTGACATTTAATGACTGGGATGTAATCTCTGGATGTGGAAGTAAATCACCATCAAATCCTAGTTTCCCTCTTGTCCTTCACCATCTTTTCTGACAAGTGCCAGACCCTGTACCTTAGCCACAAAATATTGATTGTACTTACACTGTTCAAAGCCTTGGTCTTTACTATCCTGCTTGGCCTCTACTATCCTGTCGCCCTGATTTTGTAAGACTTTGTTAAGCCTTCTGATGTTTACATTCTTTCAACAAACTTTCTCACACACAGTTCTGTAAATAACCTATGTTTTGCATTCTTTCATGGAGGTGGAGAGAATTGATGGACCCTTGGTCTGTTCAGTGGCATTGGAGAGGTGGCACTGTCACCCTCCAATCCACTGTCACCTTTGGAAAACTATAAATGTTGGAGTCAGAAAATAAAGCTTTTCTTTTTTGTTCCCCTCGAGAGCAGCAGTGTCTGTGTCATCATTTCGTGCCTTATCACAACAACTGGTGAAACCCTTCGTGTGAACTTGAGACCTCGCTTCTCGGAGGGGGAGGCGATTTCTCCCATCCCCGGGCATGCGTGGTCCGTGGCCGCAGCCCGGGACGGGCCGTCTGTCGCTCCTCCGGCGGGCCCGGCCCCCGCGGCTGGGCAGCCCGCCCCGCCCCGCCCGGCGCAGGTGATACCCGCTGCCACTTCTTGCGGCACGGGTCCGGCGCTCATCGGGGCTTTGCCTGCCCCCCTTGTGTTGGCCCGCTCTGACGTGACTCCATGGGCCGTGCCCCTCTCGGCACCCGGCCCTGCCCCCGTGTCGGGGGAGGGGGGCCCCACACCGGTTTTACGATCTGTGCCGGCGCCCACGCCCCCCGCAGAGCCCTCTGCCGGGG